ATCTAGGTCATTTCCTAAGGCAAACCTTTGAGATAGGAAACTTAGAACATGTACTTACAATAATGTGCATACCAGACAAAGCTCAAACGTATAATTACCAAAAACAACTTTATCCTTTCAATCTTATGCATTTTTGTTTTATTTCAGGAGAAGAATTCAGCAAGCAAAACTTATGAAAGGTCCCAATAAAATTATCCTAAACTTGGAGGACTTGGTGTTTATCCACACACAGAGCAGAAAGGTTAGAATTCCGTGGCTGGTAGGAGGTTTATGGAATGGGGAAAAAGTCAGCAATTAAATGTTGAAAAGGTTGAACTAGATAGTGTGGGATTTTCAGGGTGCAAAATTACAATAATAAACAGATTTAAAAACCACAATAAATTTTATTTAATCTTACAAAAAGAAGGAAAAGAAAAAGAGTAAATAATTGCAATACTGTAAAAACAAAAATTGAAGCATGGCTGTATTGTTGCAGTAATTCCCTACATGTTTCGGCCAAACATGTATTCAAGTTTATTGTGGTTTTTACATCTGTTTATCATTGTAATTTTGCACCCTGAAAATCCCACACTATCTAGTTCAAACCTTTTAAAATTCCAAGGATGCGGTGCGATTTATACAGTTGTGTTCAAAATAATAGCAGTCAGACATCACTAACCGGATCAATCACTGTTTTTGGTAGAAATGATATTTCTACATGGCAAATAATTTCCTAGCAGGTGTAGTAGAGTAATAGAAATCCAACAGACCCAACAGTCATGACATGCATGCTGCTGATTCTGTGTAATTGAATCACTCATTGAAAGGGGCGTGTTCAAAATAATAGCAGTGTGGAGTTCTATTAGTGAGGTCATTCATTCTTTGAAAAACAGGTGGCAATTATTGCCCTTATTTAAGGAAGGAAGGCAGCAAATGTTGTACATGCTGATTACAGTGCATTTCTCTCTGAAATTCTGAGGAAAATGGGTCGTTCCAGACATTGTTCAGAAGAACAGCGTGCCTTGATTAAAAAGTTGATTGGAGAGGGGAAAACATATAAAAAAGTGCAGAAAATGATTGGCTGCTCAGCTAAAATGATTGCAAAATGCTTTAACATGGCAACCAAAACCTGAAAGCAAAAAACTACCATTGGAATGGATAGAAGAATAGCCAAAATGGCGCGGACTCAGCCAACAATCAGCTCCAGGAAGATGAAAGAAGGTGTAAAGTTCCCTGTGAGGACTGTTACAATTAGAAGACCCCTATGTGAAGCCAAGCTATCTGCAAGAAGCCCCCGCAAAGTCCCACTGTTGGAAAAAAGACACGTGCTAAAGAGGTTACAATTTGCCAAAGAGCACATTGACTGGCCTAAAAGAAATGGCGCAACATTTTGTGGACTGATGAAAGTAAGATTGTTCTTTTTGGGTCTAGTGGGCGGAGACAGTTTGTCAGACGACCCCCAAACACTGAATTCAAGCCACAGTACACTGTGAAGACAGTGAAGCATGGTGGTGCAAGCATCATGATATGGGGATGTTTCTCATACTACGGTGTTGGGCCTATTTATCGCATACCAGGGATCATGGATCAGTTTTGAATACATCAGAATACTTGAAGAGGTCATGCTGCCTTATGCTGAAGAGGAAATGCCCTTGAAATGGGAGTTCCAACAAGACAACGACCCCAAACACACCAGTAAACGTGCAACATCTTGGTTCCAGACCAACAAGATTGACGTTATGGAGTGGCCAGCCCAATCCCCGGATCTTAATCCAATAGAAAACTTGTGGGGTGACATCAAAAATGCCGTTTCTGTGGCAAAACCAAGAAATAGAGAAGAACTGTGGAATGTCGTCCAATCATCCTGGGCTGGAATACCTGATCACAGGGGCCAGAAGTTGGGTGACTCCATGCAACACAGATGTACAGCAGTTCTCAGAAACAGTGCGACTACAACCAAATATTCATGAAGTCATTCAAAGGAAAGCAAAATCTTCAAACATTTCTCAGTTTATATAGTGAATGTTTGAGTTTGTAAAGAAGAATACAAACACTGCTAATTTTTTGAACCGTCTAATATTCACTTTTCTTCCATTTTTTTAGAGGAACAACACAAATTTGATGTATTTTTTCTTCATGTTTTGATTTGGAATAGAATGTGTCGTGTTCCCAATGCATTTGTGTGGATGGAAATAAAAGCTATTAGAAGGATTTTGAGCTTTATTCACTTTTTTCAACACACTGCTATTATTTTGAACACAACTGTATATCCTGTCACTCACTCGCCACTTCTTGACAATTCATCAACTGAATGTTATTGTTCCCTGTTTTGTCAAACATAAGTCCAACCCTCTAGGAACAAATTCACTAGATACAATGTGTTGTAGATAGGACTCGACACAGAAGCTTTCCCAACAGAGTCTGGTAGGTGATGTGGTCCTAAATGGGACACAGGTGACACAAAAAAGCTAACAGGACCCTACTCTATCAAAAAAAAAAAAAAAAAAAAAAGTTTGCCTTTAGTTTTTTAAGCATCGTTTTGGTTCATTTTAGTCAACTTCAATTCTGCTGTGTAGGATAAAAACATTAAAGGCAGCGTAATATATATATATATTTTTTTTTTAAGAATTATTTATTTTGTTCAGAACTAAAAGCACAATTAAAAAAATATTTTTTTTATTCATGTTAATAAGATATAATTATATAGTTATATACTTAGTCTGGCTGAAAAAAGAAAAAAGTCCATCCAATTCAACAATTAAAAAAAAAAAGTTATTATCCTATACCCACAGTTGATTCAGAGGAAGGCAAAAAACCCAGCAAAGCACGATCCAATTTGCTCCTCCTGGGAAAAAATTCCTTCCATATGCTATATGAACATTCCTTGTTTATGCTTTTCAGCACTGGAACGATAGTCTTCTATACCAGGTGAATCTGAGTGTTACTAAACAACAGTACAATCAGTCTGTAGATGCAGTAAAGCATGCTTGTTATACTCACTGTTGGACCTAAGGGCTTAATCCTCCACATTGTGTATAAAGACTGTTTGATCCTGTCTTCTCTGATAATCCCCTTCTTCTATTGTTTCCAATCCATCTGCTGATAAAACAGAGCCTTGGGGACAAGCTGCACATGCTCAGTTTGGTGTGTATTGCTAGAGAGTTTTTTTTTTTTTTCTTTGGAAGAGTGCATGTGATCAGCACAGGGCCAATCAGCACTGTCCAGACAGAGAGTCCGGTTATGCAGCTTTATAGGACAATGAGTGGAGAATGAAAACTCCTCCTACAAGCTTTAACCAGTGCTCAGCTGGACACTGATAGAAGTCACAAGACTGCTGTGACTGCTGATGAGAAAAGGTATTTAGCAGTTTATATTTACTAAAATAATTGCATTCTCATTTTTTTTGTACTGTGGGAGACCAGATATAGTGAATGCAGGGTCTGGGGTTTAGTAACACTTTAACTGCTTTGTTGAAAATTGCCTGTTGGATACAGTGCTCAATAGGCTGAGCTCAAATCACACCCAGACAGCTGAATGAGTTGGTGGAGTGTTATTGACAGAACTTCTTCAATTTTCAGATTAAATCACAAGTTAAAAAGTATGCGTTCATTCACTTTGAAGGGAATGTGTAGTGTTTTATTTGCATACGAACGTATATGAGCACAGAGGTAGATGGATGCCCATAAAGGTGTATACCTGATGACGCACAAAAAAACCCCAATACTGTTGATAAGAAATATGGTATGTGCTTCTGCAAAGGAGAAGTTAGAGAGGGAAGTGAACATTATAGACAATACACGTTGTGTGAAATGATCTCCCAGTTCAACATACAGAAATACAGAATATACTGTATATCTTCCCAGAGTAACACTGTAACCTGCTTACCATAGATCAGCCTTTCTCAACTATGGTTCCTTCAGAGGTTGCGATAGGTTCCTTTTGCCTCTCAGATGAGCAGCCAATGACACCAATGATCTTTTAGCTATTTGTTAGGGGGGGGGGGGTTCTTTTCATTGACCACCAATGTAAGGAGCATTTTCCCAGTGACAACCAATGCAAAAAACATTCTTCCCTCTGACCCACAATGTAAGGAGCATCCTTCCCACTGATCACCAATGTAAGGAACATTCTTCCCACTGACCACCAATGTAAGGGACATTCTTCCCACTGATCACCAATGTAAGGAACATTCTTCCCACTGACCACCAATGTAAGGGACATTCTTCCCACTGATCACCAATGTAAGGAACATTCTTCCCATCGACCACCAATGTAAGGAACATTCTTCCCACTGATCACCAATATAAGGAAAATTCTTCCCACCGACCACCAATGTAAGGAGCATTTTCCCACTGACCACCAATGTAAGGAACATTCTTCCCACTGACACCAATGTAAGGAGCATTCTTCCCACTGATCACCAATGTAAGGAACATTCTTCCTACTGACCACCAATGTAAGGGACATTCTTCCCACTGATCACCAATGTAAGGAACATTCTTCCTACTGACCACCAATGTAAGGGACATTCTTCCCACTGATCACCAATATAAGGAAAATTCTTCCCACCGACCACCAATGTAAAGGACATTCTTCCCAATGACCACCAATGTAAGGAACATTCTTCCCATTGATCACTCATGTGAGGGATATTCTCCCCACTGACTATGTAGGAGACATTCTCCCTACTTACCACCTTTGAAGGCACATTTTTTGCACTGGCCATGACAGTAAGGAATATTCTTCCCTTTGGTCACCAATTTTCCCAGTGACAACCAATGCAAAGACCATTCTTCCCTCTGACCACCAATGTAAGGAGCATTCTTCCCACTGATCATCAATATAAGAAACATTCTTCCCACCCAACCACCAATGTAAGGGACATTCTTCCCACCGACCACCAATAAAAGGGACATTCTTCCCACTGGTCACCAATATAAGGAACATTCTTCCCACCGACCACCAATGTAAAGGACATTCTTCCCACTGATCACCAATGTAAGGAACAATCTTCCCATTGATCACTAATGTGAGGAATATTCTTCCCACTGACTGCCAATGTAAGAGACATTCTCCCCTACTTACCACCTGTAAAAGGCACATTTTTTTTCCACTGGCCATGACAGTAAGGAATATTCTTCCCTTTGGCCACCAATTTTTCCCAGTGACAACCAATGCAAAGAACATTCTTCTCTCTGACCACCTATGTAAGGAGCATTTTTCCCACTGATCATCAATATAAGGAACATTTCTTCCCACTGATCACCAATATAAGAAACATTCTTCCCACCGACCACCAATGTAAGAGACATTCTTCCCACTGTCCACTAATGTAAGGGACATTCTTCTCACCGACCACCAATGTAAGGGACATTCTTTCCACCCACCACCAATGTAAGGGACATTCTTCCCATTGATCACCAATGTAAGGAACATTCTTCCCATTGATCACTAATGTGAGGGATATTCTCCCCATTGACTGCCAATGTAAGAGACATTCTCCCTACTTACCACCTGTGAAAGGCACATTTTTTCCACTGGCCATGACAGTAAGGAATATTCTTCCCTTTGGCAACTAATGTAAGGGATATTCTTCCCACTGACCATCGCACTAATGTAGCATAAGTTGTAGATATATAGTTATTAATAGCAGGGGTTATTTGAGACTAGAAAATTATTTCAAAGGTTCCCTCAAATTAAAAAAGTTGAGAAAGGCTGCTGTGGACTTTAGAACTTCTATATTATCCTGTAAGCAAATTCAACAAAATAGTAACTTATCAAAACCATCTTGACCCAAAGGTGATTTGAACACACAGCCGTCTGAGCTGGCGTCAGATGCACTACTGTTGTACCTGGAGCTCTGCCATGTACATAACTGATGAACTTTGCCTATTTTTGGATTGTTACTACACATGTCCTTGTCGCTCAAAAGGAACAGCTGCTCTGTTCCCACAAGGAAAGCATTTCAAGAATTTCCCAGTCTGTGAATGCAGTTCAGTATATCTTTGCTCACATTTAACAGATAGCTAGGCCTGCAATCTCAGGCTGGCTGGCTGATTGACTTAAAGAAGAACTCTGGGATAGGCTAAAAAAATCACCCATTAGTACACCCCCCTACATAAAAAACTAATCAGTTAATACAATTTTGAAACTCCTTACCATTTTTGGAGAAAAGTATAATTGAATTTTAATGACATCATCTCTGTAATTCAAAAGATAACATCATCTGCTCTTCCAAGGAGGAGGTGTAACAGTCGGGATGACATCATACCCTCTCCTGTCTCTCTGCAGTAAAAGGAAACTACAGTTCCCATCAACCACAGGGAATTATAGTGAATGTGGGTGGGTACACTAGGCCTGTACCTGTTGAATGTGTCTGAGAGTCTTGGTCCGCCCACCACTGCAAGTGGGGCTGAATTACATCACTGCTTTCTGGAGAAGGAACTACAGAAGGGATGTGCCAAGACCGGTGCCTGGGGGAAAAGGAGGCATAGCAGCCACTGGTCTTACAAACAGGAAACCAAAGAAAAATAACAGTTTGATTTGAAAATAAATAGGTTATTTAATAGCAACTACTGAGTGAACCAGAAGATGGAGGACATATTCAGTGAAGGTAGGAAATCAGAAACAAGGACATGTAAAGAATTTTTTGCGCAGAGTTCTTCTTTAAAGCATGATGTTTATAATACCTCAGGATTCAATCACTGCACCAAACATCTGATGGATGAAATAAGTAGCCAAATTGCAGCTTTGCTTACATACATATTAATTAGCAGAACAGTGGCATATTACAGAAGACAACATGGGTAGTTAAATGTCAAATGAAAGTTAAAATCTTTCGAAAGGCTCAAAATGTTTTACCTTCATGCATTCTATGCAATATGGTAAAAAACCTTCTGTGTGCAATGGCCCCCTCAGCCCCCCCAATACTTACCTGAGCCCCATCGCAATCCAGCGATGTGCACGAGAACCTTGGCTCTACAGGGACTCTGCCTCCTCATTGGCTGAGACAGCAGAGCGAGCCATTGACTCCCGCTGCTGTCAATCACAGCCAGTGAGCCATTGAGAAGAGAGAGGGAGTAGAGCCACAGCTCCATGTGTGAATGGACACACGGGAGCACGCCTGCTTGGATGCCCCGATAGTAAGCTGTTTTCTTTGGGGCACCCGACAGGAGGGAGGGGCCAGGCGCGAGGGCGGGGACCCGAGAAGAGGAGGGTCAAGGCTGCTTCGTGTAAAACTACTGCACAGAGCAGGCAAGAATAACGTTTATTACTGAAAAAAAAAAAAAAGCCTTTAGTATCGCTTTAATGATTAAAAACATAAGATTATGCACCTAAGCCAGGCCAATAGCATAACCCCTGTATTTTAAAGCTTAAGTTCAACTAAAAACATTTTTTATCTACAGCTTTGATTCTGATACTTACCTGTAATGAAGTGTGCCCCATGATGTGCTGGCGGCTTGATTCTGTAGAAATCTTCACTCCAGGGCTGCCCTGTCCTCTTCCTGTTGGACCTGGGAATGGGGAGAGTCTGAGCAGTCACAGGATTCTTTCTCCCATTAACAGATCATGTCAAAGGTAATCAGTGAAAGAAATTTTCTCAATGGAGGAGGAGGAAGGAAGGGGTCCCCACTGGATTATATTTGGTGCTGCTGAGCCCAGAGACCAGAAGCTGTTAATCCGCACAGTTCAGCAGCAGGAAGAGAACAGGGCAGTCATGCGGTGAATATTTTTACAGCTGACTACACATCGTGGGACATACTGTACTTCATTACAGTTAAGTAAATAAAGCTGTAGAGGGAAAAAAAAATGCTTTTTAGCTAAATTTAAAAAAAACAACATTGGGTGGGCCTTGGGGATATTACATAGTTACATAGTTAGTCTGGCTGAAAAAAGACAAAAGTCCATCCAGTTCAACCATAAAAAAAAAAAAAGTTATAATCCTACACCCACAGTTGATCCAGAGGAAGGCAAAAAAACCCAGCAAAGCATGATCCAATTTGCTCCTGCAGGGAAGAAATTCCTTCCTGATCCCCAGAGAGGTAATCAGATATTCCCTGGATCAACTTTACCTATAAATATTATATCCAGTTATATTCTGTGTATCCAAGAAAGAATCCAGGACTTTTTTAACGCAATATACTGAGTTGGCCACAACCAACTCTTGAGGGAGTCTATACCACATTCTCACAGCTCTTACTGTGAAGAAACCTTTCCATGTTTGGAGATTAAATTTCTTTTCCTTCAGATGTAAAGAGTGCCCCCTTGTCCTCTGTGATGACCTCAGGGGGAATAACTACACAGAGTTCACTATATGAACTCATATCCCCCCCTTATGTATTATACATGGAGATCATATCCCCCCTTAGATACATCATATCCCCCCTTATGTATTATACATGGTGATCATATCCCCCCTTATGTATTATACATGGTGATCATATCCCCCCTTATGTATTAAACATGGAGATCATATCCCCCTTATGTATTATACATGGAGATCATATCCCCCCCTTATGTATTATACATGAGATCATATCCCCCCTTATGTATTATACATGGAGATCATATCCCCCTTATGTATTATACATGGAGATCATATCCCCCCCTATGTATTATACATGGAGATCATATCCCCCCTTATGTATTATACATGGAGATCATATCCCCCTTATATTATTATACATGGAGATCATATCCCCCCTTATGTATTATACATGGAGATCATATCCCCCCTTATGTATTATACATGGAGATCATATCCCCCCTTATGTATTATACATGGAGATCATATCCCCCTTATGTATTATACATGGAGATCATATCCCCCCCTTATGTATTATACATGGAGATCATATCCCTTCTTATGTATTATACATGGAGATCATATCCCCCCTTATGTATTATACATGGAGATCATATCCCCCTTATGTATTATACATGGAGATCATATCCCCCCTTATGTATTATACATGGAGATCATATCCCCCTTATGTATTATACATGGAGATCATATCCCCCTTATGTATTATACATGGAGATCATATCCCCCCCCTTATGTATTATACATGGTGATCATATCCCCCCTTATGTATTATACATGGTGATCATATCCCCCCTTATGTAATATACATGGAGATCACATCCCCCTTATGTATTTATACATGGAGATCATATCCCCCTTATGTATTATACATGGTGATCATATCCCCCCTTATGTATTATACATGGTGATCATATCCCCCCTTATGTAATATACATGGAGATCACATCCCCCTTATGTATTTCTACATGGAGATCATATCCCCCCTTATGTATTATACATGGAGATCATATCCCCCCTTATGTATTTATACATGGTGATCATATCCCCCCTTATGTATTATACATGGTGATCATATCCTCCCTTATGTATTATACATGGAGATCATATCCCCCCTTATGTATTATACATGGAGATCATATCCCCCCTTAATCTCCTCTTCTCAGTAGAGAATACATTCAGTTCCTCTAATCTTTCCTCATAGCTGAGCTCCTCCATGCCTCTTATCAGTTTGGTTGCTCTTCTCTGTACTTTCTCGAGTTCCCCAATGTTCTTTTTGTGAATTGGTACCCAAAACTGAACTGCATATTCCAGATGAGTCTTACTAATGATTTGTACCGGGGAGTAATCATATCGCTCTCTCTGGAATCTATACCTCTTTTAATACAAGAGAGATTTTGTTCGTTTTAGAATTGACAATTGATTAACAATTATCTTATCCTGAACAATGCAGAGTGGAAACTGAAAGAGAATTAAAACAGAATGTATGAAAAAGCCACATCTACAATTTGACGTCCAGTTGCAGATACAGGAGATTTGGAAAGGTTTAAGAAGCCGGTTACTAGTAAAACAGATTCACAACCTTACCTACAGCAAAGGATATCGGTTATGTCACGTTTTTTAACAATATGTTTTAGAGCAAATGAACTATTGCAGGGCACGACAGAAGATAATAAAAAAAGCAGAATTTCGATTAAAGAGAGACAACCAACCCAAAAAAAAACATTTTTGTTTGTAATGTTATATAAATATTGGAAAACCTATATATATATATATTATATATATTATATATATATATATATATATAATATGGCCACATTCAATATCTTTCATGTGTATAGAAGTCTAAAAAAATAATAAAATCCCTGCTAAGCACATTTTAATTTTTTTTCTTATTTTTTTTTTTTAGAAAATGACAGACGACAGCAGATCCAGCTTGTTAGGAAAAAGCGTAAGTGAAATGAGGACTCCCCGTCACTCAGTTTCCGGGAAGAGCGTTGGAGCTGCCACGCCTTACACTACAAATGTGGCCATATATGAGGTAAGCGCTTATTGCTGCAGGATGTGGTTACTTAACCAATAGAAGTATACAGGTTTAAGTTAGACTTAACTTCAAAGCGGAAGTAAACTTCATTGGTGGGGGTGAGTAGGGATGAGTTGAAGTTCAGACTGAACCTTGGCTGTTTGGTTCAGATGAATGCCCAAACATTTACCTGTTTCACAAGAGCCAAATGTAATGTATAATAGTGGTATTACTTCTCTATTATACATGACACCT